GCCCGCCAGCCCGCCCGCCCGGCGCCCGGACGTTTCAAAACCAATGGCATTTCAGGAGCGGGCAGGTGGCCACCAACTGCGCTCGCCTCGGAGCAGCGACCCGCCCGGCGCTTGTCGCCTCCCCCGGCCGGAGCGAGGGGACGGGAGCCGCGCCCCGCTCCGGCACCGGCACCGGCATCCGCACCGTCCCGTCCCGTCCCGTCGGGCAGGGCCCCGGCGCCGCCTGCAGTAGCCCACAACGCCCAGCACGTCCTCAGCGCACCATCGCCTTGAACCGTTCTTACTGGAAGAGGTTCTGCGAAGACCACGCCTCCTGTTTTATGCCTGCAGGGTGACACCTATCTTTTCTAAGGATGTGGCTGGGGGGGAAGTGAAAAAGAGGCGGATGGGCACAGCCAAATGGACAGGAGCAGCAGGGAGAGGTAACAGGCCTTGGTTGCCTAGCGATATGCCAGTGATTTCTCTGCATCTGCTTGCCACATCTGTGCTAAAGGAAGGTCGCCTGCATGATTGGATGTTGGTCTGTTGAATTTGGATGGTTGAATTCAGTCCCTTGTGTTTGCAGGTAACTAATTCCTCAGAGTCCTCCAAATTGTCTATTTCAACCCATGACACATTGCAGCCACAAGGCACTTCAGTGCCAAGAGTCCCAGGAAAACACGGTGACGTGCCACAGATGAAAGGAAGCAAGACAAGGACACGATGGATGCCATGGCACTGCAATGGCAGAGAAGCATTCTAGTTATCTGGCTTGGAAGGTGCTTGGCAAAGGGTCACACCTCACACTGAAGACATTTAATTAGCCGTTTTCACAGTCACATCGCACTGGCAGCTCCTGGTCATGTTATCATTGACAAGCATGCTCAGATTCCTGTCTTCCTCTACTGCCTCCAGTCTATATACTGCTCCCATCTTATAGCAAAAGTTATCATCAGTCCCTCAGTACATGCTGTTGCACATCATGCCTTTTCTAATGCCTCTCTCCACAAGGAAGATCTAGCCAAGCCTAATGGGCCATAAGGTTAGTGTACAGTAGCACACAAGGGAGTGATATGTCTAATATCACATCCAACCACCTATGATTCCCAGCTTGAATAACCAAGCATCCATTTATAGTTGGGTCAGTTGGAGGCAGCCTTTAACAAAAGTTCAAAGCAGAGCTGAAATTCGCGTCTCTAGAACCACAGTAAACCACCTTCACAGTTTGGTCACTGCACCCCACCCTCCTGCCCAACTCCACAAGCTTGTTT